GCAGCAGCTGTCAACAAGTGTCAAATCAATTAACAGCGCATCTAACAGACTGTTATTGATGCTTGTTGGAGTGTTAATGGCAGAAACTATGAATATATATTTCTTTATTCTTTTTATGACAAACAATTAAAAAGTTAGAGCAGATTAAAAAGAATAAAAATAAAATATTTATATATTTTCAAATTTATGAGCTTTATATGTCATAATATGCCTCCATAAAAAGAAGATATAAAATAGGAAAAATTTATCTAAATCGCAAATTTTCCTTTACTCAACTGACTCAGTTATTTGCCAGACTAAGCACATGTCAAACTTTTGGCAAAACAAATCTGTCTGCCAATGTCCATCGATTATGCTCGCAATTTGGCAGCTTATCAGTGCGGAATTTGTTGAAACTAGCTCAAAAAGCAGCATATTTTTTGGGCACTGGGCAGCACTGAGTTACTTGGGTGTGAAAATATGCAGAAAAGGATTTTTATCTCTTCATATTTTCCCACACAAAGACAAGAGAAGCTCTAAGCCGAATCGAGGCGAATCTCGAGAAAGGCAAATGGCATCCATAAAAGTAGGCAACAGATTTTTAAGCCTCTGACGCAGGCAATTTGTGCGTGGCGATAAGGCGTGGCAGGGGCTGGGGCGGGAGCGAACACGAATCGACATCAAATTAAATACATCCCGTTTTGATACAAGCCGACTGTATTTTACCCAAATGAAAGAGTGAAGAAAGATGTTCAAATGGAGTTTGACTGACTGTATAATACTCTACCTGGAGTGTCGGGAGATTAAGAATATCTATATAAATGCTTATACCATGTAAACAAAGATGTTCCCATAGGTTTTCTCTTTAAGATTATTTTACAGACACATGAAGCGCATACGCTTCTTTCCACATTTTGCTGGCAGTGTATCAAAATGGAATAATGCGAAATGCGATTTTTTCCTTTTCTGTTTTTTTTTTTTCTTGCGGTCGCCCTTTTGATCGGCTTAGAGCTTGGACACCGTGAAAAAATGTTCGCTCTAAGGGCATAAATCATTGTGAATTTATCATAAATCAAATTCAATTCTGTAGAGCTGCCAATGCCACGCCCACGTTCACGTGGCTGTGTTCCTGCCAGGGCTACTAGCGCATACAGTTATATATAGTATGTATGTATATGTGGCTTTATATAAGCAGACGCATATTTTATTTATTTACGATTGTTTCCAACTGACTTGGGCAACAATTTTCTGCTGGCTCGGCGCGACATTCCTGGCGACCATTGCTGGCTGCATTTACTTGAATTTCCTGCGGGTCAAAAGTATTAAAAAGGAATTCCCCAATCCAAATGAATATACAAAATTGAAAAATTTAATATTTTGTTAGGCTGTAATGTGAATGAATATATAAATTATTTATGTATATATTTAACTCGTATTGGGTTCATGTGTGGAAAGGTTCGACATTGAAGTACATACGTATATATCTTTAATATGCCAAACGATACAGTGAAACCCATAAGGAAACAATCCAACTGCAGCACAAACAAAGTTTCAAGCAAATGCATATCTAATCCAAACTTTCTGTTTACATCTGACTGAACTTCTGGCAGCTCGTAAAATCGAGTCAGCATTGCACATTTGCAGTATCTACTGTACGTGAATAATCGCTTATTTCCTCAGGCCGCCGTTTCATATGCTACGTGCAAATTGGCCATTCAGCGTCATGGTCGGTGCTCACATTTGAACGTCTTTGGTAAGCGCACAATATGTCATTTTGGCTATTGGCCATTTCCATTACCATTTCTATTGCCATTGGCATTGCCAGTGCGCCAGGCGAGCTGATAACCTACTGGCATCATAAAAAAGTTTGTATGCGCCCTACACGCCCCTCCCCCTGGTTTCTGTCGCTCCTCCTGCTCAAATGTGAAGTTCTGTTTGACGTATCTGCTAATTGAATCGTCGCCTCGCCCCGCTCCGAACGACTCGTCAATGCCACAAGTACCACAGCACACATCTACATAATACTATGATTCCTAACCATGGACTATAGAAGTTGATTAAGTCCAGCATTGACTGCTTGCTGCCACGGCTGCTGCCAGCTGGGTGAAGACAGCCAAATATTTCTGGCTAATAATCTGAGTTTGCTACTTAGTTCAAATTGCAGTCTCTCACTTCGATCAGCAGTTGGCCATGATGACTTTTTATTGTATATAATTTAATTAATAACAAATATATGATATTTATATTGCATATATATAATAGAAAATAAATGAAAGTGAAATTTGATTTCTGGTGTAATCAGCGCTGTTACTTAGCCAACTTACCTGTTGGCTACAATTTAATATGCAGTGAAACGATTATTGAACAATTTCACCTGTCACATTAAAAATGTATTTCGAAGAATTCATTTTCAAATAATTTGCCGCCGTTCGTACATATAAAAAATGAGAAAGCAATATTTTATTTATTGTGAAAACTAATTTGAAACGTCAAAAATAATAAAAGCATAATTAATTACAATTCACAGGCATTTATTCTATATTGTTTGCTGTGTCTATATTACTATAACACTTTTGAGCTCATCTATTTGCTTTTATAGTCAATTATAAATGAAAAATAAATAGTTGATATCACTTCAGTGTATAAATATAAAGTAAAGCTTATGCGGGTGACTGCATAAAATATTTAAATAAATAAAAATATTAAAGTAAATAATTCAAAATAATATATTAAATTGCTTCGAACAGGCTGACGTAGACTCAAAAATTAATATTCATATACATATTTGTACATATTTGAATAATCTACGTAAATATAGAGAGGGATGGAGTGAGGAAAGTATAAAATCTGCTGATAATGCCTGCTGATGCCTCCTGCTGATAGTTTCTACTGCAAATGGATTCCTCATAGTTTTGTTTACTCAAGAGGTATCTACATAGTCGATCACTGCGGTCAGTTAAATTCGTTGCTGTTTTCGTTTTGTTCGTATTTTCATTGAACACGATGCTGCATTAAAAAAACATATTTTATCGCACCAAGTACTCTTGTTTCCAGTAGCAGTGCCAGTTTTTTCCCTTTGAAAATAAACATTTGTACAATATAGATGTGAATATATGCAGGTGTGTGTGTGTGTGTGTTTGGACTGCAGCCTGTCTGGTCATGCGCCCATAGGTCGCTCTATACGAATGTATATTTTTGAACGTTCGTCTATTCAATGGGAATTTTCTTTTTAATGAATGAACAACATTTTCCGTTGCTTCTCTTTTTATTATTTTTTACTATTGTACCTCGATGCCGGCAGCGCTTGAGCGAGGGCGAAGTGTTCGGGGTGTCCGCATATGAGTTTTTATTAGTTGCTGTTCGCCAATTGATTGGAAATATTTCTTTTCATGTTTCCTCTCGCAATTGAAAAGCCGCAAATAAAAACAAAGAAAAATACTCAATAAATATAGCGCCCAGAACCCAAGCCCGCCCCACCACACCGAGTGTACCGTATATAAGAATGCGCTGTCCGCTCTTCAAGTGCTCTGGACCGATGGCATATGAATTACCCCTCTGTTTAGATAATAATAATTCCGAACATTTTATTTGAGTATGGAGCGTGTATACGTTAGCAAAAAGATTTATGTATGAGCTCTTGCCCTCTGACAGCTGATGTTTAGCTTATAAATCTTTAATTTATTTTGTTTTGATTATTGGTTATTATTGTGCGTAAGCGCATGGGATATGTTATGCTGTCGAAAGTCGAAAATATTTTAACGATTCTTAAATAATTGAATAGCCAAAGTTGTTTGCATGCTATATGGAAAGTGGCTTAACACGAGTTGACCAACTATTAAGCTAGTTTTCCTATTAAAAAGCTTTATGAAGTTATTGTCTAGCTTCACCTGAGTGCCATAAAATGCTGTTTGCCGAAACAGTTGATATTTAATTTGCACATTAACATAGAGATGACCTATTTTTGGGTTTAATTGTTGCTCTTTCGAAAATCCTTTGACGCCCCTTCGTTTTATAAATTTTTAATCTGGTGTTTGAATTCCTCCAGGATGTTATGTAAAAGTGAAGTAAACTGTTAATTCTAACTCTCTCTCTTTAACTCGCTGTTAACTAGCTTTACTTAACAGACTTGCTGAGTTCGTCTTCTCTAACGGCCGCCATTTGAATCGGGATGGAAAATAAGAAGCTAAATTAACTAATTTTTGTATATTAATATTAATATTAAATATTGATATATCCATTCACTATTAATATTTTATGGCATTGAATGAGTGAATGCTTCACTTTCTTTGCAGCATTTCTTGGCATTTATCGCATGCGATAAATGTGCCGAACAGTCGCTCTGAGAGCGCACACGATGCAATAACAGAATGCGAACGAGAGCGACAGCGAGAGAGTGGAAAACACGAAGTTGACGCTCGCTCAACTTAACAGCAGTTGTGGGTGCCCGAACGACCCACTGACACACTGAAACTGTTACACCGACGGCAATGCTTGTGATAACAGCGCGCAGCTGTGTGCGTGAGCAGCGGCTGTTAATGTTAGACGCTTGTCGCTGGAGGTGCTGTTGTGCACTGCTGCTGTTGCTGTTGCTGCTTGTGTTGCTGTTGCTGCTGCTGCTACTGTTGCTGTTACGCACGCACACAGGTACGTGGCGTGCTGGCGCCTCTGCTAGTATCCATACGTCTTTGCCGTTTGACTGCTGCTCGCCTGCTGGTCGCTGCCGACGTCGTCTGCTATCTGCCGCTGCTTTCTGCTCGCAGCTCGCTCGGCGTTCGCTTCTGTTCCGAATTTACAGTTAAACTTTCAAAGTGCGCGCATCAGGGCAGCGACAAGTGTTTAGGCGGACGGGAACAGCGACGCGTCCGCAATTTTCACGCGCTGACTTTTCAAATATTTTTGGGAGCTGCGCGTAACGGTTAGCCAAAAATGCGAAAGCAACACCTATACAAAAAATAAAAAATAAATAAAATAAATAAAAACGGCAATAGCCGTAGAGAATTTTCAAATTGTTGCATAAATTAAATAAAAGTGTATAAAAACAAACCAAAAATTCAACACGGAAATTATTGAAAACAAAACAAAAACTACGGCAGAAAAAAGTGTGAGCTATAAAATGCGTATGTTGAAAAGTGTAATTGTTGTTGTTGGTGCGCTAAAGAATTTTATGTGGAAATTGTGAAATATATTTAATGGAAATGTGCCCCCAAGAAATTGAACCAGAAATCAGGCCAGCGAATATATGAATAGTGTTTCGAGTACATCAGAAACTAAACTGAAAATATTATATATAGTATATGCATAATCTAATTTTATTGATGAACTTAGAAGATAACAATCGCTATTCAAGTGATTTGTGATTTGTGTGCTGTTGCCCCTAAGTTATTTGTTCGTTAAGCACGGCACGTCATTTGGCACCTGTTCGGCAAGTTTCTTGAAAAGTGTTTAAAAAATAATTTAAAGCTATTTATGCTAACGAGCAGCTGGAAAATAAAGGAGGAGCTGCCGAGCGAAGGCTGAGGGCTGAGAGCTGAGATCGGAGGCCTTACCCAACTTGCCGTTGGCCTAATGTAAGTTGTTCTCTTTGCTATTAGATTAAGATTTGCTTGCTTAGAGCTTGAGCATTGTCTGCTCTTTATTATTTTTTTTACTGTTGATAAATATACCTGCTCTTACGTATACATTCTTTTTATTCATTCGTTATCGTCGCCTAAGTGCATAAACAAATTGTTTGACAACTTAAAATGTGAGCGTGCTGACGCTCGGAAAATGTCAACACCTCTTTTGTTTATCGGAGTGCGAAAAAAATCTTTAATTATAGTTGTGCAAAGCACTTGATGCGGCTCTTTAATAATGTCGCAGCTAAGTCAAAGCACTTGAGGCTATGTGTGATTGCCTTTTAATGCGATATAAAATGCATTTTTATGACAAAGTATCTGTGAGATACAATTTGGAATTAAAAATGCCAAGATACGAATCGCCGGCACGGCTGCTACCAAGCTAGAGCTCCAACGGCAGCCATAAGGCACTGCTAGATGGTCGAGTATCTATGAGATACAATTCAATACTACTATTTCAGAGTAGCAATTTAATGGTATTCGATGCAGTGTGCCTGGCTCTCGCTTCACTCAAGGCACTTCAACTGAAGTTCAATATTTGCGATGGCTTTTGATTGCAATATAAAAATATATTTATTTATTTATGTGGCCCTTGATGGGATGGAATTTCAAAGCGGAACCTTTGAGATACAATTTAATGATACTTTAGTTTTCATACTTCATCTTTAGCACTTGGCCCAGGGCATAAAGTTTGTTGAAGATATGTTTTGATGTGAATATCTATGAGCCAGCTCTGGCTACAATTGTCTATATTCAGTTGTGATTCTCTGAGCAAAACCAAATCATTCCAAATATACACAATCTATATCTAATATATTTCCAATACCAATTATATTTGTATTGTACTTAAGTCATTTTAATGATGGGCTTTCCTCTTTCGATCCACTTTTTCTGCCATCAATCTGGGCAATTCTTGATCATTTTGAAAGCATCGCAACGTTCGTCTCATTGAGTGCAGCAGGGGTTCCGCTACTTGTGCATCTTTGAAGTTCCACAAATTTTACGCATGCATACTTAAGCAACCAAGTAAGCGTGTGTGTGTGTGTGTGTGTGGGCGTGTGCAAATTTACACTTAACTGCAAAACAACAAACTTAATTGACCAAATAAAGCTCAACATGGCGGCAATTGCGCCGCACTTACTACCTGTCTGCCTGTCTGCCTGCCTGTCTCTCTGTCTACCTGTCTGTCTGTGTGCCTGACTGACTGGCTGACTGACTGACAGTGGCATGAGTGAGAGCGAGTGGCATGCGCTGAAATGATGCCAACAACAACAGCAACAAAAAGAGCAACAACAACAAGAACGCCAGCCTTGAACATGAAATGTGAAAAGAACGTTGCAAAGAGATATAGCACCAATTCATGCCCGCACTTACACTAATTGCAGCTGATGTGCAGATTATTGTAGCCAGGAGTGCCTGTCATTGGCATCAAACCTCTTTCTTCTTTTGTACGAGTAGCTGTGGTTATGAGCCACAAACTGTGTGCCCAAGTGCCCAGCGCTCCTTAAACTGACACTTAAATGACAATTTTGCTAAATGGCGTTTTTAAACTTCAGTATGGTTGAGCAAGCAAAGAAATCACCAGAAGCTTTGGAAAACTTTATGAGTGCAGAAAATCGTGGGATCTTGGCTTAAAGTAAAAATCAGTAGTCAGAGATATTGAGCTATAATTTTAAATTTTTTATTTTAATAAATTTATAACATGCAATAAATAACTTAAAGCCACAGTTAAGGCAAAATGTATAAATCATAATGAATAGTTCATACAGCTTAGCCACAATTCATAGATTTAGCCCAAATTACGGCAATCAAATTACAAATCTAAAACCTAGTCAAAAAAACAAAGAATATTTTATTTTTCTATCTTTTTGTTATACATATCGATATTTTATTTAAAGCTCAAAGCTAAATAGGATCCACTTGAATTCAAATTAATTTCAATAAAAGATAAAAATAAAGCAAATAAAATAAATATTAAGAAATGCGCAGACAGACATGATCTCCATCAAATGAGATTTCAATTTGCCTCCTGACAACTGACATTGCTCTAAGGGGAGTTGGTGCTGCATTGCCCCGTGATATCATATGTCAGCTGAAATCAATTGATTTCAGAAAACGCATGTGAATGGCAGCAGCAGGAGCAGGAGCAGCAGCAGCAGGAGCAGGAGCAATGGGAGCCAGGTGGCATGAGCCCTTTGGCAATTGTAAATTGAGCGCGTACATACAATACAAACGACAATCGCAAAGGTAAACGGACAACGGGGCGTATACGTGATAAAGTTCACAGAATCGCGCACACACACACTCGCAGTTTGAGTGTCACATTGTTATGCTTTGTCAAGGAACAGTCGGACAATGAAACCGACAAAAAATGTCTGAAACAAAAGCAATAGTATGAAGTGTGACGGAAGTGAAATTGAAGCGTGGGCACGCCTCGCTGCCTGAGGGTGTGTGTTTGTTGTACGTGTGTGTGTGTGTGCGTGTGGTGAAATATTGCGCATACGCCACGATGTCGAGCCTTAAATTTGCCAAATAAAACGTACACAACTAAGCCAGCGTAAAGCTCCTAATTAATTAATAATTAATCACCAAAAAGCTAGCGCGAAAAAATATCGCGAGATATCGAAATCGCCTCAAATTGCCAAACTCCTCAACTGGCAAATATTGAAAAGGTCACTCACACGCGCGCACTCTCTGCACTTATGCTCGGCCTCTGGCTCTTGCTGTGGCTCTGGCTCTGGCCCACTCGCCCACTCATTGTCATTGCCAATGTCCAGACACTGGCAGCGGCGCTTATCATAATGACCGAAACGCTCTAATCGGGGGCAATTAACGTGACCAAATTTAATTTCCGCCCAGGTCGCTATCAACGACTGCGACGCCGACTGCGCCGTTGTCGTCTTCGTCGTCGTCGTCGTCGTTGGACGCTACTAGCGGCAGAGGCGTTGCTATATTATTTACAAAATATCATTTAGCTTGCAATGGGCCACTAATGCCATTGGATATCCATCATGTAAGCCAGTGCTTCGTCTTTAGATACACTGTGCGTCGAGTTTAAAATGGGTATATTAGTTGGTGGCCTTTTTTTTTGTTATTTGTTATTTGCCATTGCAGTCCAGATATGGGCATAGCTGACTGAATTTAAACCTAATTCAAATATGTTTAAGCCATGTCTAAGTCTGAGCCTGTAGCCACATGTTGTATCTGTTAAGTCTGCTCTGTTAACTCTGCTAACAGAGTATGGCGCAGTCAGTTGCATTTGGATTTGCACTTGGTTTTTCCTTTATTTTCCGGGTGCTTTGTCATTTACGGCTTGCTTTTTGTGTTTGTTCGCGCGCAAAGATAAATGAGCGAGCCACCGCCGAACCACCCACACGACTGTGATTAGCTGTCTGACAGGTGACTCCGCGTTGCTGCTGCTGCTGCTGCTTCACGCTTCATGTTTTTTCGAGTCCTTAAAGTTGCGGCATCTGTGTGGCCGCTGCGTCCGAGTCGTGCCTCTGCTTCTCTATTATATAAATGTGCGTCTTGGGCGCAATTTAGTGATGCGCGGGAAATAACAGTAAATATGTAACACAACGGGAGAGCAAATTACTTATGTTAATTAGTTGGCGCGGCTAATGAGAAATCGCAAACAGATTCCACAATGATTACCCTCAACCAGAACCTCAGCCATGTCCTGGATTCCATATTCATGCAGATTCCCATCAGCCACAGTACAATGCGATGTTGCAAGGCTGCACTTGCCACATTCCAAAGCGCAACTTTATGATATTCTATTTAGTCTAGTAATCAGTAATTAACGTACATTTGCTATGCAGATGCTGTGTTTACTACATTTTCTATTTAACTGAAATTGTAATTCGCAATTGCAAATGTAAGTTGCTACCACAAACCATAAATTTCATTTCATTTCATTAGCCCCTAACCAACTACAAAATAAACAAACTTTTTTTTCTTACTCAAGCTTAAAAAACATAATTTGTGTCTGGCAATTATTTCAATTTTGTTTTACCTACGCTTATAAATAAAGAAGCGGGTTAATTAGAAGCGGATTGAGGAGCCGTCAATATTAAGTAGCCGCAACGTGGGCTGGGGCTAATGTAAATTCCAGAGCTGCTCTAAAAGTCGCAGAAGAACAGCATAAGCCGAAAATGCGTTTAGTTTAGTTGAAAATATGCGAAAGAAATATGTAAATATATATATATATATATTTTGTTTAAGATATATGGCAAGCATTTGCCAAGACTATCAGCTATTAGCTTACGTAAATAGTTAAGCTTATTTCTGGAGTTAATCAGCCGTGAAGTTAAACAGTGATTAAATATTCATTTCCATTAACCTGATGGATGCATTGTTATGAGAATTAATTGTCCTTATTTGTGAATGCATCGTCGGAATTGTTTTTTAAGCCAACAAATAATTAAATTTTAATTTGCTTTTTACAGTTTTTCATTACCAATTAAAATTAAACAAATTAAACAACATATATGCATGCACGGAATGGCTCACAGGCAAACGTGAAAACAATTTCGCTGCCATGAAATTAAATTAAATTAATTGGGTAAAGCTGCAGCCCGTGGGCGGCCGAAGATGAAACAAAGGATGACTTTGTTGACGGCACAGGCGATAGCTGCAGCAGTCCGCTGTGGCATCCGATTATAGCAAATATGCTATATTATTTATTAAATACAATACTGACAGTTTGAAAGGATTAAATACAAACAAAAAATGAAAATAAAGAACAGATACCTTTTGTGTGCACTTAATGAAAAACTAATTAAGCGTGGCATCAACATTTTTTATTGATTAATTCAAATTGCAGTGCCTTCATACGGAGGCATAATAAACTCCGGCGTGCATAATATATCTTAATTTGGTTCATAATTAATGCCTGCCATTAAGCTTTATTTTGCCCGCGTAGCTTGGCGCAAGTGTGCGCTGTGGCTGTG